CGAGCCTGAATCAGAGCAGTTTCTGCATGGGGGTCACGTGGAGTACAGGCCAGACGCCGAGGCCTCCCCACGCTCAGCCTCCGTGCCGCCCGCCCCCACTCCGCTCACCCTGACAGCAGGCCTTACAACGCCCAGGCGGACATGGCCTGACGGCGGAAGTGTCCGGGCAGAACTACATTTCCCAGAATCCTGCTCGCCGGAGCAGGGCTGTACTTCCCAGTCTGAGGCTTTGTTTCCAGGGGTCTCAGGCTGAGTCTGGAAGTTGCCGCTTGCATTATCTAACATTTTAATTTGGGGGTTTTATCATCATGGATTAGTGAGATCTAATATACTCATTTAGACTGCTCTAGAATGTATTAATGAATATATATGCATAGAATTTGTCTATCAAATAATTTAAAATACTTTAAAAAATTAATATATATGTAATTTTAGTTGTTGATGTACTTTTATTTTTTATTTATTTATATGGGGTGCTGAGGATCTAACCCAGTGCTTCACACATGTTAGGCAAGCACTCTGCTACTGAGCCACAATCTCAGCCCCTTAATCTACTTTTATAAATGGTGCGTGAAGCGTTCTTATGTTTGTGTTGATTTCATATGCAAGTTTTCTCTAACTGATATGTAAATGAATCAGTAGCTCCAAAGGTAGACTGTAAGTTATGAGTAGCTTCAGCTTTACTATATTTTTTCAAATAGGTCAACAAAATGGTTATATCAATTATCACTACTGTTGTAGGGAAACCAAGGCAAGGCACCAAAGATAGCAGAAAACAGTTTTATTTGGCTTCATCCAGGTTCAGAGGGCATAGCTTTTGCATAGTTTTATACCTAGCATGGAAGGGGAGGGGCTCAGAAGTTCACAGTCTGCAGAAGTTCACATAAAAGCAGCTTTTTCTCTTTCACTGTTTTGGGCAAGTTAACTCTTCAAGGACAACACCTGAGAAGGGGAGAGCATCTTCTCCCCTTTCTTTGCTCCCCCTGCCAGCTGTTACAATGGAGCCCATTTGTAACTTAAAGTTGTAGACATCTCTGTGAAGTCCCATCTCAAGGCCAGAGGCCTTGTTTGCACATTTCTTCAAAGTACTATACTAGATAAGTTTGTGAAAAACTAGTAAGGGGTGTCCAGCACCTGGAGTGCTGGTATCGTCTTGGCCAGTGGCCAAGTAAAACAGGGCGACAGGAAAATAGGATGTTTATCTACATTGAACTCTTTTGCAGAGACTCTTTTGTTGACAGTCCTAAAATCAGACTGGGTGAAGATTTCTGGAGAAGCCCAGTTAAGTCTTTTCTGTGGAGAAAGAGGGTGCCACTTCACTACCTAGAGAAGAATCCAGGAGTTTCCATTTGTTTACCTCACTATCTACGTTATTATAATGTAATTTTAACTACATTGCCTCTAATCAACTTATTAAGATTATGAAATTTCTTGTGGTCACTTTATTTGAAAAAAGCAGCTTCTCCTACAAATTCTTAAACAAAAATTGTCTTCAGTTTTATCTGTATTCCCCTGCCTCATTCAATATTTATTTAACAGAACACTTTTAGAAAAGATTTTCAGGCAGAAAAGTTTCTTCGTTTGTATTGATAGCTTTGTTACATTATTATTGGACAGAATTGTTTCATCTGTTTTGAACAAAGAGCTCATATATCTGCTATTATTGATGTGCTTCTAGTTATTTCTGTACATCTACTGTATTTTTTCCTTTATGAAGTTGGTTACCATATTTGGTGCACTGATGTTCAAAAATGCTACATAACTCTGTGACTCTCAACTCATAGTACAAAGCATTATTTTTGTATGCCTGCCATGTACAATTTATGCCATTAACATAGCCCAAACATGTTTATGTCTTTCCACTATTTCCAGAATATATTGAATAACAAATTCACAAGCTACACTGCTTACATTGGTTGCAGTTTTCAGAGTATTGGAGGATCTCTTTATAGTCATGCTCCTGGCAATCAATCACAAGTTCTTTATTCCTTTCCAGCCTTTTTAAAAAAAGTTCTTTTCTTTAATTTTTCCATGCCAGTCTTAATTGCTAATATCTTAAACACTCAAGTCAGACATCATACTGTGTGTGTGTGTGTGCGTGTGTGTGTGTGTGTATACGTGCATGCCCACACACTACAAGAAGTGTTAAGTATTAAGGCAGCCACAGGGCAAAGGCACAGAGCACATGCAAATTTATTGCTGTATGTAATCAAATTCAGGTTTTTTAACTGTTGTTTTTGTGGTGCGGGGGCTGAACCCAGGGCCTTATGCATGCCAGGCAGACACTCTACCATAAAGGCACATCCCCAGTCCCTGGTTTTAATAGAACCAACTGAGTTGTGAAAAGAAAGGTTCAGGGTGTCAGCTTGAGGTATCAAGTTGGAGTGGGTTCTGTTTTTGTCACTGGAAGAGAAACTGAACTAGGCTTAAGATTGAGAACAGGGAATTTTTAAATTCATCACTGTGATTTTCCTGGGCAAGGCTGTAACAAATGATCAGGTGATGAGGTCAGGGTGCCCCCATGTCCACGATTGGTAGAGGACTCCTTGTTTTATGGAGCTTATTGTGGTGTATACTAATAAATACAATCAATACGAGTGTAAAATATAGTATAATATTTTGATAAGTGAGATAAGACAATTATAAAGCAAGAACTGCCATAGACAGGCCTCAGACTCCATTTTGCTGCCTTCTTTAAAACACTGTTACAAGAGTTGTTTCTGAGAAACTGAAATAAAGTTGTTTTCTTAAAAAAAAAATTGTCTTTCTGTAATTTGTACTCCACGAATTGTATCCTACTCAGGATGCAGCAGTGGTCTTGGTGAGCTACATCCTGGGTTTGAATGCCCTTGTGGGTCTACACAACTTCGAAATAGATTCTCGCCCGCCAACCTCTACCCAAGTTCAGGATGCGACTGTCTAGCATCTATCTGCTTGAACCCAGGACGGTGGTCAACTGAACTGCAAAGCTAATACTATTTTGGCTTCTGTTTATCACTTGCTTGCTGATTGGAAAATTTCAGTCCTGCCTAGAGCCCAAGGTCAATGTTTTAATTTCAATGATTGGCTAACTTACATGATGCTAAACAAGTCACTGAGTTGGGGGTCTTTGTGATTATATTTTCTTTGGAGGGACCTGGAAGCTGTTTGAGTCTTTACAGTGGGTGACAGTACCTACCCAGGTAAATAAAGCTCTCTTTTGATTTGAAATTCAGACTTAGGTGCTTTCTGAGGCGTCTCCCCATAACAGGGTTAGGTAAGGGGGTCACTTCTGGTGAGGCTGATAAGCCCCTTTGTCTGGTGTCTTTGATATGATTTCGGATGTTCACCTGTACAGATGTTTCTGGGCACGAATGAGTTATTGATCAACTTGTACATTATGGTGGTGCTGGGCAGGTGGCAGTTGCTGACTTGCACAAACTAGGTGTAAAGTCACTCTGCTTCCCACTTGGACTCAAAACCGAGCGGAGCACAGCCTTCTGTCCCCTCGCCCTTTGCGGTAGTCCTGGGAGCGTGGGCGGACTCCCTTCCGCTCCCCGCCCCTACAGGTCGCGCTGTGATGCACTTCTCCTAGTGTAGAGGGAAGGCAAGCGGTGGGCGGGCCTGGCGATGGGCAGGGGCTTTCTTTTCAGGCTCCGACCTCCCTTCCGCTCCTCCGCCCCCGGAGGATGCGCTGTGACGCACTTCCTCCTAGTGTAGCGGGGATGCAGGCGGTGGGCGGGGCTGGCGGCGGATAGGGGCGGGGCACATCCGTCCCGGGCTCAGGCCCGGGACAGCGCCCGGTGCTGGCCTGCGGGGCGTGCCGGGACACTGCTAGCAGCTTGTAAGCCTCCAGCCCCATCACCCGCCGAGGCCGCTGCGCCGACGGAGAGGAGACTCCGAGGGGCGCCAGACTCTCCGCGCCCGTGGGGATGGCCGCCAGGGTCCAGACGGCGCCGTACTGGGTAAGCAGGGCTTTCTCGTGCCTTTGAAAAGCGACCTGGCACGTTCATCCCTGCTGTCGCATACAGGACCTGACAGGACCTGAGCCCGGCGGCCCCTGGGATCTAGAAGCGCTCCTTATGGTATTTTGCGTCCGGCGTCGTCTTTGGCAGTCACCCTTCGTTGCCAGCGGTGGGCCCAGATTTCTGAGATTCCTTGTTTAAGGAAAGATCTTCGTTTGTCTTTTTATGCAGATCCATAAGAGTTCTATGGGGGGAAATTACTTTCTTCTTTCGTTTGTGCAAGTGCTTATTTATTAAGTGACTTGGTGTTCACTCCCTGAGGTTGGTGCTTGCAGTGCGAAGGTAAATTACGTTTCTTGTTTCAGGGAATCTGTGGTCGGATGCGAAGGGAAATCAAGTGAACAGTGAGGAAGGAGGACAGGAGATTAGCTGGAAAGTGCAGAAGAGAAAGACGCAGTTTTTTTTTTTTTTTTTAACAGAGAAAGGGGATAGAGGATCTTTTGCACTTTGTGATTGTTGGAGTAAAGATGAGTGATTGGATTGCTGGACCTGTTGCACTACGCGGGTGGTTATAGCATTTCCTGAGACAAAGATCACTGTTAGAAGAGATAACCCCAGAAAGACTCTCAGATGTTGAGTATGCAGTGCCTGTGCGTAATCTATAGCTCCCGTGGGCAGACCAAACTGGAAACACACAGACTGGGGACACATTTATTCCAAGAAGCTCAGAGTGTGACCGAGTAGAACCCTGAAGAGCACCAAGTTGAGGATTCAGGATAATGACGAGGAAAGGATGTGAGATGAAGGACCAGAGTGCAAGAGAAGTGAGAGAAAGGAAGAGTGATTTCCCCCCTAAGCTTGAGAAAAGAGAACTTCATAAAAGCCACCATATGAAGTGCCACAGAAAATTAATAATTCATGAGAAAAAAGGTTTTTATCTGTTTGATTTGGGAATGTGTAGTCTCAGGAAATTTTCCAGAGTAGAGCATTTTGGGTGTGGTGAGAGTGAAGGAGGGCTTCAGGTGAAGGGCAGCAGGCTGAAGGAACTGACCAGGAGCCCTGGGGCTGTTGGGTCCAGTGGAAAGGGGAATTAGGGTGCCAGGGAGAAGGGCTTTCAATGAGGTAGCACCAGCACTTCAAAGTCAGTGAACTTTTTGTTTTTAAACCACTATATAGAAAATATAGTGAGATAAAATAGCCCTGTTTACCACAGCAATTTAAAAAACAAGTGAATTTAGAATATCTGGTAAAAATAACATTTTAAAACCATTGAATAATGTTAATAGCTATTACTGTTGACCAGCTCTCTTAAGCTCTTTATGTATGAAGTCATTCAAGCCTCATGGCTCTATTTCACAAGTGAGGAAACTGGGAACCTGACATGGTCCCAAACTACTAAGGAATACTAGGAAAGTAGGATGACAAAGCTAAGATTCATACCCAGGCAGTTCCTCTCTAGTATGTGCTCTCATTGCTTCTCAGCACCCCAAAAACCGTTTTAACAAATGTAAACAGAATTTTCTTGTTTTTGAGTGCATGTATTGATTTAACAATCACTTATTGACAACTGTTAAATGTTTCCCAGAGGCCTTTGCGTTAAGGGCTGATCCCCAGGGTTGTGCTCTTTGGAGGTGGTGGAGACTTAAGCCTAGTAGGAGATTTTAGGTAATTGGGGACATGCCCACAATGGGGACAACGGGACTCCCCCCTTCTTGTAATCATCTCTACTTCCCAGCCCTGAGGTAAGCAGTTTTGCCCCCCTGAGCTCTTGCCCATATGTACTAGTACGGCCCACTGCAGTGGGGCTACCCAAATGTAGCCTAAAACTCTGTAACTATGAGCTCAAATACCCTTTTCTCCTAAAACAGTTGATTACGTTAGTTATTTGTCACATTAATGGAAAGTTTACTAATGCAACTATTTGCCAGACACTTTCAAGAGCATGCAGGTATATTTTCTAATGGACAAAGACTGAGTCCATTACCCCTAGTGGGAAAATCATCAACGCTTAGAGGAACATCACTTTAAAAAGTTGTGAATGGGGCTGGGGATGTGGCTCTAGCGGTAGCGCGCTTGCCTGGCATGCATGCGTCCCCGGGTTCAATCCTCAACACCACATACAAACAAAGATATTGTGTCCGCTGAAAACTAAAAAATAAATATTAAAAAAAAAGTTGTGAATGTTATATGTACAAATGAGAGAGGCTGGGTGGCTTCTTCAGATAGCAGAGTCAGGAAGCTGTCTCTTGAAGCAACATTTAAACAGTCTGAAAAACAGTATGGTGATCGTGAAAAAATGGGGTTAGATGTAAGAAGCATTTCAGGCCTTGGAGAAGAAGCCAAGGTCAAGAAAACCCGCATGGTTCCTTTCTCAGGTGGAAAGCAAGCCTGTGGCCTGAGTGAATGAGATGTGTGCGTGTGAAGTATAGAAAACGAAGACCATATTATTAGACTTTTAAAGTGAAGAATCATGATGAAAAACCTTGGAGTTATTTTGTTTTGAAGTAATTTACAAACCAAGAGAAATTGCTAGAATAGTATTTTTAAATTTCCTGTGTTGTAAAATAAAAACAACTTTCCGAGATGAGAATGGCTGTGCACACCTGTTGTCCCAGTGACTTGGGAGGCTAAGGCAGGAGAACAACGTTCGAGGCCAGTCTCAGCAACTTAGTGAGACCTTGTCTCAAATTAAGAAATAAAAAGGGCTGGGGGTGTTAACTCAGTGGTGAATTATTGGTTTCCATTTGTGGTACCGCATACGTACACAAAAAAACTTTCTGTGCACCTTCATCTAGATTCTTCAGTTGTTACATTTTGTAATCATTGGCTTTACCATTCTCTATGTATCCGTGTGTGTGTGTGTGTGTGCGTGTGTGTGTGTGTGTGTGTGTGTGTACATATGCACACACATTTTCTTCTCTCTGCCTTTAAAAGCCCTCTTGCCTTCCCACCTCATCTTTTTACCCTACAGACTTTTTTTCTTGTTATATGTACATGGACACAATATCTTTATTTTATTTTTCTTTACGGGATGCTGGGGATCGAACCCAGTGCCCCTCACATGCTAGGCAAGTGCTCTACCACTGAGCTACAACCTCAGCCCTCCCTACAGACTTCTCTCTCCGCCATCTCCTCCTCTTCTCCCCTGTCTCCTCCTCTTCTCCCCTGTCTCCTCCTCTTCTCCCCTCCCCCACCCTTTTTCTGTCATTTTTATGGACACAAATGCTGTAGGGTTATATTCACAGTATAAAAGATTGCTTCATTCCTGTTGAACCACGATGCAAAGAAAAGACCTTGAACTCCAGTTTTAAATCAAATTAAAGCAAGTTTATATTGTGTACACAAGAGAGCTGGCTTGTGTAAACAGCGACTGCCTCACCTGAAAAAATAGGCCAGAGGATAGCGTCTGATCTAAGGGCAAGGGAGGGGGCTTTATAACAAAAGTTACAAAGGTGATGTCTTGGGAATTTACAGCTGACAGGGTTCAGGCAAGCATAATACAGTAACCTATCTAGCAGGTTTATGATCTGCATAGCTTAACATCTCAAGGTAGGGAGCAGACTCATCAGAGTTGATGAGGAGCAGCTGGGATTTCAGGGAGGGTGGTTAACTGGTCAAGGAGAGCCGGGCACCTGTAAGTTCAAAGCATGGGCAGGAATCTCAAGCAAGTTTTTAAAACATCAAATTATGGTAAGGCCAAATAGAAATATTAGTATTTTACAGTAAAACAGAAATGAACTTTTCATGACTTTGTGATGAGATGGCTCCCAATCTTAAAATGGAATTAGGCTGGGTTCATCAATTCCTTCTATTCTACTTCACAGAAAAATTTGCCATATACTTTTTTTGTTTTGTTTTTGTTACCAGGGTTATTGAACTCAGGGGCACTTGACCACTGAGCCAAATCCCCTGCTCTATTTCGTATTTTATTTAGAGACGGGGTCTCATTGAGTTGCTTAGTGCCTTGCTGTTGCTGAGGCTTGCTTTGAATTTGTGATCCTCCTGCCTCAGCCTCCTGAGCTATAGGGATTACAGGCGTGCATGGCTGCAATATACTTTTTGTTGTGCATCCTTCTTTGTGCTTTTTATGTCTGTTTTACCTATAGGATTATGTACACAGATATCTGTTTTGTGTTTTACTGTGAAAATAGCTTTATAGATTTTCCTGTTTAGTGTGATTTCAATTACATTCTCTCTTTAAGAAGTGTTATTTTAAATAGCACCCCGAGCTCTGTTGGCCATTGCTTCTCTCCTCTTAAGTATTCAGCAGTTTTGAGGGTTTTTGTCCAGATCTTTTCCTCAAGATACATGAGTTATTAATGTTGCTATTTCCCTGTAAATTTATTTAGTGATACAAAGAGCTCAGGCACATTCTGAGGGCTCTGACCTCATCAGTACACCAATGCATCAGTGCACTCATAGCTGAAGGGGCTATTGGGAGATGCTCACAATTGTCAGAGGTGGGATCTAGTTGGAAGGAGTGGGTCCTTGGGGGCACATTTTCAGGGACTGTATTTTGTCCCTTTTTTTTCCCTTAGGTATTTTGTCACAACAACAACAAAAAAGCTAAGGCATTAACTGGCTCAGAATAAAAGATATAGATGCAAAATGAAGGCAGAGACGCCTGTTATATGTACAAGCCCATTTGGAGAGTCTTTGTTTTTAATAAAAATAGTGTCCAATTCACTGTTACAAACTCACTTCTCTGTGTTCTGGCTGTGAGAAATCCCAGCTTGTAACCACTAGGGAGCTTTACCTTTCTGCTCTTATTCAACTCTTAGCTTTTGATATTCTGAAACTTTTCAATTTTTTCATATATAAATGTTTAAATTTTAAAAATAATTGATTACAATTGTGAATTTAATAGGTGATGGGTGGACTTTCAGCTTTGCTTAATTCAACATTGAAAAAAGATTTGGGGTGCTAGATTGTGGCTCAATGGTAGAGTGCTTGCCTAGCATGCATGAGGCTCTGGGTTTGATCCTGGCACCACAGTAATA